CCTGTATTCGCAAAGATTTTCAAAAATAACTTTAGGCGGTTCAACTCTGGAAATGAGTGTTGACCTTTCTAGATTTTATAGTTGCGTGGATTTTTGTACAGAGATTTTTCAACGCACGTCACAGATAATGTAACACAAGTAATTGAAATAACATGTGACATTAATAAACAGCAAATGCACCATAATTGGTCTGCTCTTTACCATGATGAATGGGTTATCGTCGACCATTACTGGCGTGGAGCAGCTTCCGGCCCGTTTGCAAATTATTAGGTCATGCGTGTGCGGAAATAGGGGTAAAACCACAGAAAAGAAATAATACAGTGTACAACGAAAGAAAAAAAAAATAAAATAGGAACGACGGGCAACTTCCATATATCTTTTTAAATACACATCTAGAAATAATCTATAAACTTGCATATTATGTAGTAAAAATATTAATCTCTTAGTTGTTAATTAATAATTAATTATTAGTTTGGCACGGAAAATAAATGTTTTCAAAAGGTGTTTGCTGCCGCGCTTATTCGTGACGTCATTTAGTGCGATCAACAATCGAGTAGAAGAATGACAGGGACGTCGGTCGGATAGTATGAAGAAAATAAGTAACAAGAGTTGTTTCTTTAGATTAGGTTCCGTCTCGTCAACATGGGGTTGGGGAGTTTGCATAAAAAAAGATGTGTGNTACTAAAATCGGATTTCAGTATTCTGAATCATCTGGGGCGATACATATAGTAAGTTATTTTCCATACTCTATTTTAATTCCTAATAATATTTCAATTTTCTACTTCTGTGTAACCCATTTTAATTAAATAATAATACAAACTGTCAATCAATAACAATGTTATTATGACATTACCACCTGTCACTGTCACGGCCTACCATATGACATTGTCCATAAATAATTAGGCCTCTCACGGCCTAATTAGTGAGATATAGTTAGAATACCTATATGCATTTTGGACTACTTTTTCTACTATCATTTTCGAAAATTTCATAAAAAATCGTGTAACTTTTATATTTCACATTTTTTTATAACTCTTAAAACAAAAAAGTTAAAGGGGTGGTCAAAATATAGTGAATCACCCTGTACACCTTCAATAATTTTTTTCTCGGAATTTTACAAACATTTTTTCTACGATTATGAATCCATTATCCATCAGTGTTAGTGTTTAGTGTTTATTGACCATGTTAAATTGCATACACAATCTTTATGGCAAGTCATATACAAAAACAAAACATGTATACTCGTAGATATACACAAAAAAAATAAATGATTAAAAAACATATCACAATGAATATTACAAGCAATAGAACACAAAACGAGAGAAATGAGATTATATAAACATCTTAGTCTAAGAAGGAGCGATAAGACCATTACCATAATGTATGCATATCAGAAAATTTTAAGAACTCATTAACTGAGTAGAAACAATGCGTAACGAGAAATGATTTTATTTTCTGTTTAAAATCACGAGATATCATTCATCATTATTCATGAGGCATCTATTCCCAAATTTGTTTAAATAAGTCGTGAATCACCCTGTATAGAAATGACGTTAATGTTTTTAACTAATAATAATGTAAGAAACAACTACTCTGCGGGCTAATGAGCTGTCTGGCATTGACTTACACCCGCAAATCAGCTAAGATCATTTCTTAATGTAATCAAAGACAGAGGACGATTTCTAATTCATCACTCCACTTCATCAAAAGATTAAGATATGACATACTTTATAACATGTTATATCTCATCATTATTAATTCTAGTATATTATTAGGTCTGTTCCTAAGTCATAAGGGGATGAGAAACACAAAAGGATAAAACAAAGTGAAACTCAAAGGTTAAAATGATTGACCCTCATATACATAAGAAATACAGAGTAATCAAAGCGTTTTGCATAATTAAAAATCCAGTTAATGAACAAAATATGAATTGCATCTAATATCCAGTTTCTCAATTGCATTATTCCATAATCCATCTAGCTTTGATTCCTTGAAAAATTAATACAGGGTGTATATAATAATAAACATTTTCACATTTGTTGTATAAGTTAATTTAGAAAAATAACTTCTCGAACAAAAAAATTAATTAGACAAAATTTGTTATTTTAATAGTTCAAATTTTGGCACTTATTTCTGGTTCACCCTGCTTGTAATTGCGAGGATTTTCAAAAATAACTTTACCCGGTTCAACTCTGGAAATGAGTGTTGACCTTTCTAGATTTTATAGTGGCGTGGATTTTTGTACAGAGATTTTTCAACGCACGTCACAGATAATGTAACACAAGTAATTGAAATAACATGTGACATTAATAAACAGCAAATGCACCATAATTGGTCTGCTCTTTACCATGATGAATGGGTTATCGTCGACTATTACTGGCGTGGAGCAGCTTCCGGTCCGTTTACAAATTATTAGGTCATGCGTGTGCGGAAATAGGGGTAAAACCACAGAAAAGAAATAATACAGTGTACAACGAGAGAAAAAAAATTAAAATAGGAACGACATATTTTTAAACAAATATAGCTGCTGTATAATGGGCAACTTCCATATATTTTTTAAGTATCTAGAAATAATCTATAAACTTGCATATTATGTAGTAAAAATATTAATCTCTTAGTTGTTAATTAATAATTAATTATTAGTTTGGCACGGAAAATAAATGTTTTCAAAAGGTGTTTGCTGCCGCGCTTATTCGTGACGTCATTTAGTGCGATCAACAATCGAGTAGAAGAATGACAGGGACGTCGGTCGGATAGTATGAAGAAAATAAGTAACAAGAGTTGTTTCTTTAGATTAGGTTCCGTCTCGTCAACATGGGGTTGGGGAGTTTGCATAAAAAAAGATGTGTAGTGTTTTGTTACTGAGTAGGTGAGGTTAATTTAAACAAATTCAAATAATTCGTTCTAAAAAATCTTTTCAAATTAAGTCAAACAATTTTATTCGCTATCAAGAATCTAGGTCTGCAGAAGATAACTACAATGCAGACAATGCTTCAGTTCATTTTATAAGATTTTATTAGAAAACATATTCTGAATTCGTTTGAAATAAATAAAAAATAAATTGCGACAGTTAGTTGTGAGATTTTTTAGCATAAGAACTGGATCTGGCAGATTACACTCTATTGATCTAAAACTCAATTTTTCTAAAACATATCGATTAAATGTTTATAATCCATAGCAGTTTTCATTCGTGTAATAATCCTTATCGAACTACTCTGTGAAATATAAAAACAGTGCAAATTTCGTTTTATGTAAAAAAGTCAAGGGTGCGGCGAAGCGTTCAGTTTTTGATTGACAACTTGTGTAAACTAGGATCCAAAGGAATTATTACACGTTTCAGTTTTTCATTTGTTAATAACTGATTCTGCAATCTGGGCGTATACTATAAGATGACATACATTTAATTTTTTATTGGGGCATATAACAAAATACGGGTTAAGCATAAAGTTTAGAGAAAATGTTGACACTGAATATTATACAACTAAATATGGAATAAACAACGAAATATACACTATTTTTTATTCTAGATTGTGAGGTAATTTATCTTGGCAGTACATATATGTATCAATTAAATTTTATTGAAGAAACCAGGCAAAGTATTAATAGTCATTTGGTTTTGGTCGCCATATTTGTTATATGTACCTGCATATTGAGAAGTTCTGTTATTATTCGCTCTGTGTTAAAAAATTAACTGTTTTTATAGTAGTGGACATTCACCCGAATTGTAGATAGCAAGGCACTCAGAAAACATTTGTTATTTCAATTTCACATTACGTTATTTCGAAAAAAAAAAAATTAACTCAAACTAATATGACCTAACAAAACCTATACTAGTACTAGTTAGGCATATGTCAAAATACATAAAAAAATCTCCCTTTTTTCCCTTGATACATAAACAATCATAGACAAAATATTTGTTTACTCACCTGATTTTTACGGCATATGACATACTTGAAATATTGTGGCTAATCTACTGGTACTGGTACCAAGATCCTTTTCCAAGTCGTATAAAATTTCTGGTTCTAAGTTTGCCACTTTCTGAGTTTGTTCCGTCCAATATTAGCGTACCTAGTGGCGTTCAAAACTCCGTTAATCTACTTGCATTTCCTTATTCGGTACTTATAGGTTGGGATAATCCATCTGATATCGTCCTCTTGCAACAGCATCGTTTTCACCTGACAAAAAGTAGGTGTAATCATATCAACTTTATTGGTATCTACCTAACAATATTAGTTAATATTTAATAAACTGTGTAAAAAATTTTGTTTTTAAAAACAATTGAATGTTTTTTTTTTAATTTCGGTGTTTCGTCTACATTGATATAAAAAAATGTGGTGACTTTAAAATAACACGTAGCTGAGCCATACCAAAGTAATCCGTTTTGCTAAATTATTTTCCATTTTCTCTCTCTTAACAGTTTTACAGGTACAATTGACAACGTCGATAGTGCACTGACACAACTTACCACTCTAATTCCGGCTAACACAAGAATTAAATTGCAGTTTAAAGAACTAATTATAATTCGACCATCTATTTGATTATAAAAAAGGAAATTCAGTTTCGTATTCAGAAGAACACTTACTATTACATCTAAAACCTGACTTTCACATAAAGTTGCACCCTGTATAATGTGACGAAACGTCGACTACTAAAAAAAACGTATTTTCTTTAGAATTCGGTAAATATGTGTCACTATTGACTACTAACAATTAAAATCAAGGCTTCCAGTAACATTACTTATAACGGGAAACGTCGCCAATGTTTCTGGGCCACCCTATAGAGTCGGCGTGGCGTAACGCGTGCAATTTCCACAAAACCAGAACCTGCGACGACTAATCATCATCATCATCGGCCGCATTCAAATCACGATGCAGATCGACAAAGGGCCTTCCGGCCCATAATGAAGTTACATGGGAAGTAAAGTGGGGGGCAACAATAACGACACTCCAGCGACGGATTACCGGAAAACACGAACCTCGATCGACTGATGCCATTGGGTTCGATTTCAATTGGTCGGCATGGGCAACTGCCCGCCGACGGCTCGCGGCCGAGACGGTTTATTTTTTAATTACCCGTCATTGAGGCAATAATTCGCCAATTTAATTTTTTTTCTGCGTTGTTGCTAAAGCGCGTCCGATTGCGCGTAGTGTCGTGCTTCGGAGGGAGCTCTTCTGCTGATGGTGTCGGGGAAACTGGAGATCATGTTCGGGCGGAGGCGGAGGGGAGGCGGGGATGCCAGGGGCGGCAAGGACGGCAGGTTCAGGAGATTGGAGGAGTTGGTGGTGCCCAACGCGAAGCTGAGGTTCTGCCCCGAGCAGCTGCAGAATTTGAACTATATCTTCGGCAAGAGGTTGGAGGGCACCGTGGCTGTGGAGTCAGGTAAGGGTGCGGCAGAGGCGCTGGTAGAACGTCAGGAATTTGCTTGGGTTAGTTGCGAACAGAGGTTTAAAAGTTCCGAACAAATTGAGCGTTGGAAAAAAATAGAAAATTTATGCCATTATGTTTAATTTTTATATTAACGATTTTTATATGCATATTTGTTTAAGTTTGATATGCTTTTCTTATGTAGATTTCTCATTAAAGCTTACATTTAAAGAAAGACTGCAAAAAACCTGTGATTTTCGCCCGTTTTTTCACAATTCGCAGAGAATTAAAAATAATACATAAAAATATGTTTTTGGTCGCAAATTACTTGTAAAAAACTGAAAAGAGCATAGCTTTTAGTATTTTGAAAATTTTAGAATCACCCCTACTTAGGGGTTGAAAATATGCTAAAAATTAAGAATTTGAATATTACCAGTTGATATAAAGACTATTAGCATGTGAATTATTTTAATATATTTTTTTGGAATTTTAACAATTATTTCTGATATTCTCTATTTTTGGCGATTCCACCCCCTGAGCGGGCTTAAGGGCGAATTTTCTAATTCAACATGTTTATTTCAGTCATGAGAATAAATCTCATCTCATGAGTATCAAGAATCATTCGATAGAAAAATTCACATGCTAATAGTTTTTATATTTATTGGTAATATTCAATTCTTCATTTTGGGCGTCTTTTCAACCCCTAAATAGAGGTGATTTTTGAAAACTTTCAAAAAACTAAAAGCTATACTCATCTTAATTTTTTACGACGAGTAATTTGAGACCAAAAACATATTTTTATCTATTTTCTTTGGTCTCTGTGATTTGTGAAAAAACGGGCGATTTTTGCGGTCACTCTTTATAGGTCTTTGAAAAGGAACCAAATAAATTTGTCTTTAGAAAAATTCATAGCCCACAGAACTTAAAAAAAATAAATATCCATAAAAAATTAAATAAAAGTGATATGGAATCCCAATTTACGTATGTCACCACCTTAAGGTTGAAGTAAAACATAAAATAAATTGTTTTAGAATATATTTTGCTATCAATGAAAGTTTTAAGTTAAAATAAGTCGCGTGTGTTCTTTATTGCCGATTCAAAAAAGGGTCCCATACTTCTCACAATCCATTTTATTGACAGATAATAATTGTTTTTAGACAGGCGTTTTGTAGGTTAAGGAATCGCACTTTTAGTAAGACAATGGTAGAACAAGAAAATCCTTGTAAACTATTAGAAATGTTGAAATAAAAGGATTTCTTTCAAGTTTTCGCGGAAAACATGGGCTAGGTGCCCATGTTTTCCAATGTATAAACATTGTTTTGTCCAGCAAAGTAAAAATACTCGATGTCTGTGATTAATGCATGTGTTAACAGTGTCTTAAAAATATACTGTGGAGATCTGTCGAAATATCCCACTTCTTGGGTTTAAAAAATTTTAAAAAATACCTTTTATCCGAGTTTTTTACTTATATCTTGGAACCTATGCATTTTGGAAGAATATTGAAGAGGAAAAAAGTTTTAGAATTGAATTTTGCACAATTTATTCAAGTTAAAAATGTTTAAATTTAGTACCGATGTTGCAAAATAGCAATAATTCATGAAAAAAAGGGAAAATAATCAAGTTTTTTGGATAATTTTTTAAAAATATTTTAATTGCTCCGATGGCATTATAATTTTAGTAAAAAAGAACTTTAGAGAATAAAACAACACACCAAATTTCATTAAAATCGGCTCTATAGTTTTCGCAAAATAATTTTTTGAAAAAAATTTTGAAAAAAATTTTCGAATTTTCAGTGTTGCGCAGCCTCTAACAAAGCATCTAGATACTTGAAAATTTTTGAAATTGAAAATTATAATTTTAAAGTACTCGGAAAGACGCTTCTTAAAAAAAAAGTTAAATTCCGTTTATTGGTTCTCGAGATATAAGCCGTCAAAGTTTATCGGCATTTACCGTTAATTTATAAACAATTTAGCAATAATCTTTGATCCAGTGGCTTCGTTTTTCCGAGATCTAAGCTGAAAAAAATTTTCATATCCATAAGTTATCGGCAACATAGATAAATTAGCGGAAAAGCTGTCGCTCGCACGCGCGAAAAGTGACACAAAACACGAAAAGTGACACAAAACACGAAAAGTGGGGGAGGGGGCTTTCACTCCGAGACTGAATTCGGAGGTTCAAAATGCCAAGGTACGAAACAAATTGCATTATCTCGCCTTCTAATGGACCAATTTCGATCTTTTTTTTTATCCGATGTCTCGCGAGCCAAGGAATTCGAATATCGTAATGCCAACTGTCTAATTTGCACATATTTTGTTATAAAGTTTACTATTTATGCATTAAATATACTGTACATTTTACCCTATGCTATTGCATTTTTTCAAAATTTGTTTACGTATATACATTTCAACACTATGAATATATTTAGTTATAATTATTACAATTATTTAAATAATTTTTGTTTAAACAAATTAAAAAAAAATATATTTGGAAATTAATTTTTTTGTTAAATACAGATAAAATTAAGAAAAAATAGTACTTTAAAATTATAATTTTTGAAAAAAAGTAAATTGCAAATTGATAAATGTAATCTAATTGTTTAAAAATAAAAAACGAGTCTTAACTTTAAAAATTTACTTAACCGATTTCAATTTTTCATTTGAAAGGTTAAGCAGTATTTTCTATGTGAAACAATTTTCAAGTATCTAGATGCTTTATTTGAGGCTGTGCAACATTTTGAAAATTCGAAAAAAAAAAATTAATTTTTTTCAAACAATTATTTTGCGAAAACTATCGAGCCGATTTTAATGAAATTTGGTGTGTTGCTTTATTATACTCTAAAGTTTTTTTTATCAAAATTAGAATTCCCTCGGCGCAATTAAAATATTTAAAAAAATTATCCAAAAACTTGATTATTTTGCCTTTTTCTTCATCAATTATTGCTATTTTGCGTCTATATTATGCACCATCTTATATTTAGGTAATCTTTAGTAAATCAGTATTTGAGCTGTACAGTTCCAGGACCAGCTATACCCATTTGAACAAATATATTAGTCGATTATTTTGTTTCTTTTTTGTATTTGGTTACATATTTTTCCACTGTATTTGGAAAACATTGGATTTAAACCATTTTGGAATTTCAATTGTCCGGTGTATCTGTTAAACAATTTAAAATTCTTCTTTGATAAAATAAATTTATAAAATCAACCTTTTGTATGATATTTTTGGGGAAAGAAATTATTAATTCAAAATGTGATTATTTTTCATTAGCCCAGTTAAATAAAATAGTAATTAAATTTAATTCTGTTCTTTCCAGAATTGACCGAATTTTAATAAAGCAACTGAATTTTGAAACAAGTAGAAAAATGATCGTTCAACGATTCAAAAATGATATTATACTTTTGAATGAGACAATCGTGCCAAAAAACATTAAGTTCAATATTTTCACCGTAAATTTCAAACTTCTCGCGTTTATTACTTTCATATCATTTTCTTTTTAAACCGTGTTGTTAAGGCAACATTTCATGTGTATTTGCAATACATGTAGTACATTTACGAACATCGCGCTGATAAAGAACCCATATAAAACTATCTACTAGCACGCAAACCAATTTTAGGCGCCTTGGTAATTATTTGGTCTGGTGTAACTAAACGATTTTTGTAGATCACGAGATTCCATGTTGGATATCACGACCCGATTGCACGTCAGAAAAACAAGCTTGGGACAGAAATCACCGACCAGGCAGTGTTCCAGGCAAGCTTTGTTTAAAAAAAACAACGAGAAAGGTCGACAACAAAATATTATTTAAAAAAATTCTTAGAGAAACATTTATTATTTTACTAATTTGACCAAAGCAGCGATGACAACGTTGTCATTGTTATTCTTACACCTAGTTTTGATAAATCTATAAAGTATTAAACAAAACTGGAAGAAAGGAGTAACGAAATTCTATAAAATTCTTGTCAGTTCAACCAATGTACAATTTATTTCAAACACTTTAATTTTTTTACAATTTTCATAATATCACGATTGTTACGTTGCTAATGCGTTTCAAAACTTGCCTCCTATGAAATTTCAACTATGGCAAATATTTTATTTCAGACCAATAATTAAATTAAGTGTAACTGTGTTGCTCTAGTAGGAAATTAAGTTTCTAATTTAGGTTAGTTTTATTTTAAAAAGAACGCTAGAGACAAGTGCTTGTGTCGCTATAAGAGTAAATTTTTTACTTACTTTAAAATGCTTAGTCATTTGACTTAAATAAAAAATAGGTAGGTAGTACAATATATGCAATTCTAAAATGTATGTAAATTATAGAATTAACAGTAATTGTTGGTATATTTGGGAAAAAAGCAACGTTTTCTTTCCATCCATATATTATAAATAGAAATGTATAGTTTACATAAATTGTGAGATGTTTGATGGTTAATAGTGTTTATTTTATATAATAACAATGTATACGTAGAATGTAAAGGTTACACAAATTAAAAATATATTTTATAACCACAACAATGATAAATATAAAATTATGTACCAAGTGCCAAATTAATGAGTTCCAGTAAGCTAGCTAATACATCGTAATTACTTTTTTTTACCAAAATCAGATGACGCGACAAAGCAATACATAATAATTATATTTTAGCGAAAGACACAACTCATTAGCAATGTATTTCATAACTGTCAAACATACACACGCAAAGCAAAGCTGTGTGTAGTTGAATCACGAAGTATATACCATATCAGCTCAATGATTTATGACACAGGTTTAAAATTATGTTAACGATGTATGGCATCGGTACACGTCGCCTTTGTTCGTGACGCAAATGGGCGGCCACAAAAGAGGGATTTAGAGAATTTCCGTTACCAGTAACAATCGTGCATCGTTGGGTTGCCTATGTTCGGCAGTCATGTGACTTGTAAACATTTATAAAGACTGTATAATACACTTACTTTTTGAAGTTGAATATGTTGGTCTGCCTACCCATTTTTTTATTTGTCAGAAAGTATTCTAAGGTAAATAAAAAATTTACTCCTACAGCAACGCAAATTCTTATCTGTGTTCTATTTTAAGTTCTATTCAAAATAAAAGTAACCTACAATTAAAAAAGTTATTTTCCTGTTGTACTTAATTTAATTGTTTATCTGAAATAAAATATTTGTCACAGTTGAAATATTAAATTATTACAGCAATACGTCTGTTTAAATTTAACGTACAGTTCATACACTTTAAAGCTTCAGAATTATATTTAGCTAGAAGTTTCACTACTGATTTTTTTTTCTCAAAGTGTTTTATTTGTGGGTAATTCATTCCCTTTTAGTTTAATTGGAGTGTCAGTGCAATAAAGCTTTTACAGGATGATTCGAGAACAAATTGTTTACACTGTACTTATCACGACATCTATGAACTTCTTCCCATTTAAAAAAAACGTCACCCTGTTGCCTATTTAATAAAGGAAAATGAATCTCCACATGTAACAACGTAGACGTAGACGACTTAGCAACACGCAGATGCGGGCAAATGGGATTAATCTGGAAATATTTATGTTTTGAATTAAACAATCGACGAGTGCTTACTCATGCTAGACCTATTTTATGTCAACGCACGCTTGATGACACCGGATTAACGAGACCAGTGATATATTTGTTTTGATGCGGTTCGGAATTGGCATTATAAGCTGCCCAGATCGAATTGTTCCCCTGAAAATTATATCCGTTGTCATTTCAACAGAAGCCGCCTTACGCAGGTACACTCATAGTTAGAAGTGGAGGAACAAATTAACACATGTCGAATACTACGCAATTTAAACATAAATCAATTGGACCAAAATCTGGACCATACGGGGGTCGAAATAAGAAAATTTTAATGTACTGTACGGGGGCGACTTCTGATGAATGTAATACAGGTAGATTTTTTTTTTTTCAGAAAAGCAATGGCTTCTGGCAAAGTCGGTGACTGAGAGGCTGGTGCAAAGGTTAATATGTGGAGCGGGGATGTTGGATTCCAGATTTGCCTCCAAATACTTGATATGCGACAACAATCAACATAGCAGTGTAAATATAGTAGTTTTAATTTATTTCAACGAGACTAGGTTTTGTTACACTGAGAGAAATTCGACCGGTAAATAAATTTTGCCAAGATAATTTGCTATTTTTTCTTATTAGTGTTAAAATATCATATGTCAAGCTTAATGAAAATTATTTTACTAGTACGATTTTATTAGCTTAAGTCGATGTTTTTTTAGAACAAAAGAAAGAGATTCTTGCAGTAAATAGCAAGTACACAGGAACATAAATGTAAACAAGTAATAGAAGAAGAGAAAAGAGAAGATTTTTAACGGTTTTTTCGATATATCTTGAAACGTAACAAAGCAATCGATACTTACAAAAAATCAGTCGATAGATCTACAACTCTCTCATTTAAAATTTTTCGATCGGTTCGATTTTTATGGCCATGTTCGTTATTTTGGATCGAATTTGAACTCGATTTAAAATTTAATTTCCTATATGGTCATATATTTTTCCAAATAATAATTTATGCAAATTTAACATTAGGCCATCACAGAATGCTTGGACTAAGTTTATTCACATGGTATCAGCGAGATAAATAGGCGCATTATTTTAAATTTTAGTTAAATGGGAATAATTTTATATTTTTTAAAACGGTTTTAAAATGAAAATATTAGTTTATTAGTTATAAAAGTTGCTAAAGCCCCCAACCCCCCTCCCCCCCGGTTACGCCACTGCTTCCTACACCCTGTATTAGATAAAGGCTAAATAGTTATCATTAAAATTCCTGACAGCAAAACACATACGCAGTGGACATTGTAGTTCATATTACATTACATATGGAATAAACTTGATTTTGTAATTTTCGAAAAAAATCTTTTTGTGTCAACATTTTCGAAAAACTATATTTTGTGTCTTTGTCAGTGCATTCTAAATAGCTGCTTCGAAAAGAATGTAAGCTTTTTCTTCAGTTGCAGTCCATGTCGAACAAATTGGAATACATAGTAAGACTCGACTGCCTATCAACACCAAACATCTACGAAGCAGACACCAGACCGAAATACTCCATTATCGAAACCGACTCTGATTATCCTGCGGCGTACGCAAGGATCAGGCTCCACACCTCCTCCTTCAAGGTGTGGGGGGACTACACGAACTCCAGCGGATACCTACGAAGGTAAGATTCGATAACCTAGCCTTTTTGAACGTCCGCTTAAAGTTTCTTAAACCCCAGGGACAAAGTACAAGCGAGACTAGTAGAACTCCTGGCTTTGGCGGCTTCAAAGGATGTGCCTAATTCGCCTCTCTACGTCGACGAATCTGTGCTTTGCGGCATACCCGGGAAGGTGGTGGACAGCGTCACCTTGCACAACATCCTCAGAACGCCTCCACAGCAACACGTGTACTATGGACCAGGTAAAATGTAGTTCTATCAGGTAGGAATTCAAAAATTTAGTATTATTTCAGGAGGTAATGTCCCAAGATTCCCTGATCCAAGAGACTTCAGACTAGCAATAGTCGACGAACCTGGTGGAATAAGACTGAGGGTAGAATTCTTATCGCCAGCTCTGTCAAATATATCCCTAGACGTTCGAATCCTAGTAGCCATAGGAGTCGACGCGTGGCCATCCTCGACTGACTTTCCATCGAGGATATCCCTAGGTCACTCTGACTGTCTACTGTATCACCAAGCATCTTTGACAGTAAGCTTCAAACAATAACATGTCAGTATAAAGAAACTTTATGATTCTAGGGAATGTACCTAGTTGGCTATGGGGTCCAGTCTTCCGCGTGGCAGATTCGAGTCCCAGCAGCAGAGTACGTGCTCCTCAACCACTACGGACCTAACAGTACAGTAAGAACTATTCTAGACACTCTCAGTAGTGTGCTGCAAGACATTGACAGGTCCAGGAATGTAGGCAAACAACAGGTAATTTAGTATAGTTTACATGATTCCGTGGCTGAACAATTGTTGAGTTGGTTCTCTCGGAACCCAACCCAGAAATTGTTCAGCCAACAGGTAATTTGTTGTGTCCAGGTAAATAATACTCCATCAACTGAAATCTGTTTAGGTCTCTTACAAAATCCTGAATAACTACATCCTGACGACGGTACTGTTCGAAGAGCTGGAAGAGAATTCGAAGAGTCCAATATCTGACATGATCAACTGGTCGCCCATGTACTTATCAACGCATGTGTTGAAACTTCTGGACAAAATAATTGCAAGACTCCTGGAAGAAAGACAACCCAACTACTTCTTTAAGAAATCGAATCTATTAGTGAATCCTGGTCATTTATCCGAAGAAGACTTCCGTATCGAGGCAGGTTACATCAAAGGGGCCATGCTGAGGTGTTTCGATGAGTCTCTAATGTCGACCAAAGGTAAACCGATGACCTTGAATCAATAGAAATTACTATAGGATAGTTTACAGGGAACGAAGATTTCAACAAATCTATTATGGCTCATGAAAGTGAGCTGGCGCTTTTGTACAAATGGAAGGATGTAGTGGATGGACTGTTGCCTCCGCCAGGTACTAGAGGTAGAAGGTTTTGCTTCGCTGGATCGAAAAATAGACTGGAAATAGCCCACACGCAGTACACTCTGAGACAACTGGAATATATTGGTTTGTTACTGCAAAAGATGCTTATCGTGAAACAGCATGTCGTACAGGTAATTATCACAACACCAAATGGTATGATCTTCATTTACCTCTCTCTTTAGGTAGATTATACTCTGATGGAAGACGAAACCAACTACGTTCAGGGTGAACAAGAACACCCGCTAGAAGACGTGATATTCATCCTAGTAACTATTATGGACCAAGCCAGAGACCAATACTTATCCACACAGACCCACCCAAACATAGTAAAGAATAAACTGAAGATAAAAAGCAACTACAACACCTGCACTTCCAAACTGGTAGACATAATGCGGAAGGATCCTGAGTTACAAAATTTAAACTTCGAAGACGACTTAGTCCTGGTCAAGATCATACTGAAATGGCTGTACAGGGCTATGGACCAAAACAAGAGGTACCTAGCTCCCATACTGAGGCCCTATCTCAACAACATCTTCGCCACCTCCCACGCCATATCTTGGCACATCGACTCTATCAAAAGGCGGGCAAGCAAAGAGGAATTAACAGCCTTGGGTAAATTTGCCGAGCAAGTAAACTCTGGAAAGACCACCCCGGCGCAGGGTCTTACCGACTGCGTAGATAAAAATTCGAATTGGGCTAAGGTTATGCTGAAGATGGTCGAGGACAAGACGTTGAGAGTGGTATTTTTGCCCGGCAGGGGACAGGTTTTCAGGCATATCTTGTCGCTGCCTTCAAACCAAAAGAAGGAAGTGGAGAGTGGGAGTAAAACTTTGGGGGGCCCTGTCGAAAAGCAGGAAGCTCGAAAGGAATTGACTTTGCCCAGCAGGAGTTATTTTAGCACCATTTTGAGAGAAAGTAAGTTTTAGATTTTCATTACTGTGTAGAGCAACCACATTATTGTTAAATCTCGTCTTTCTTGATTTGTATACATCAGTTTTTCGTAATATCGCGCAGAAATGTAACCATGAAGACACACAAACACAACGTGTCGTCACTAAACACTCAAACCTATGAACGAAAAACTAAAATAATTGTAACATTGGTTGCTTGCATCAGGTGGATTAATAGTATGTGGTTCATTCTGAAGAACTTGTAATGATCTCAAAGGATATTTCAAATGTATCAGATTAGTAAGTTTTAATATTATGAAAAATTTATTTTATAGGGACTGTCCACAATGAGGACGATATAACTCCACCACACGATCGACTGAAGAGATCCAGCCCTCTTACTTTAATTTTCAGCAGTAGACACCGAAGAGGAGAACACAGAGGAGAGGGGGACATATTAGAAGCCTTAAAATCAATGCAAAGACTAAATGTAAGTCATGTTCAGAGACTCAGATCTGGTGAGCACGCTGACTATTGCCTAGAAAGTCTGCATTTTATTGTGAGAGTTGCTTATTCAACCAAATTTCAGGTGTTTCAAGAAGTAGCCACCAACCTACCTCAAGAAGACCGTAAGGAACTTTGCGACATGATCCGTAACATCCAGACGGCTAAATCCAGGAAAGCCCACGCCAAGAAGTGGTCCAGCACCCTTCCTCAACCAAATCTGAGAGCTCAGGCTGGTTTTAGTTCGAAGAACGAGACGGTGCAGAGGTACACGCCCAAAGAAGAGAGCGCCGGTATCAGGGTGAGGGATCACAAGTTGGAGAAGTTAAAAATCAAGAATCGCAGCACAAGTAGCTTGTTAGGCACCTGTAGAGCTGCTAGGATAAGAGAAGACAGCAGTATTTTCCTCTTGCATGATAGTTTTAAGATAAAATCGCTGCTACATAAGAGTGAGTCGCTTAAGTATTAAAAAGTATTTTTAGTGAAATCTTGTTTTATTCCATATTTCCAAAAGTATACAGGGTGTTCCATCTAAGAGGGATTCTTCTGTAACTCTGTAACTGTCAAAATAAAAAATGGTTTTAATAAAAACCACCTAAGAGGGTATATAAGCTCTGATCCGGAAATGCAACATTTTGGAGATATGTTTTGGAAAACAGTATATTTTTTAATATTTCAGATAGGTGATTTTTTGATTAGTTCCGTTTTTCTTCCATTGGAACTTAATAGCGATACTTACAGAGAATCCTTTCAAAATCAGATGAATAATCTCCTGGAAAATATTGCAGAGCACCAACTCATTTTAGAGTGGCCAGTAACTGGTTAAATACAAATGCCTTCGCCTGCTCGATCTCCTGACTTAAGTCCGCTTGATTTCTCTTTATAGGGCGATCTCAAGTTCGCTGTTTATGAAACACCAAAAATAAATTTAAAGCGGATTTAAGACAACGAACCATTAATGAATGTCAACAAGTCAGACAAATGCCAGGAATTTTTGAAAATGTGTCACATCCTTGACATATATTCTTTGTTTTTTGGTTTCTGCGAATCTCCACCACTAGATGGCAGATTTATGTAGAAATATGCTGAATTATTGCTTTTAATTAGATACAAAAATTCTCGTCAATCCACATCAAACAACTTCAGAGACAATTAAAAAAATTGTGATATTTTACAAGAACATTAACGCCCGTTGTCTTGAAATTCAGTAACTTTAGGCCGCAGATTTATTAAAACTTTTGGATCTCAGTCTGAGTCCTCGAAACTCAAACTCACGCCTCGCCCCAATCGAGAACCTCCCGGAGCCGGCCCTGCCCGCTTCCCGGAATCAATGGCGACTCGCGGCGTCGCACAACACACGAGCATCCCTCTCAGCATCCCCAACAGTAACGTCGAGGTGTGTCGACACCGAAAGCCCCGCGTCCGATACAATTCAACCCCTTTCTTATTTCCAGCAAGTCTGGTCGGAGAAGAGAAAACTATGGGATAAAATAGTGTCGTCGCGGACTATACTGTGTGATGGTAGCGCCTTGGCCGGATCCGTGCCACCCGGAGAAAGTGAGTTTTCGATATTCCTCTTTGTTTTTGTTGTGTACGTAAAGGTTGTTGCACGCATCGCTGTTGGGTGAGGTAGAAAATATAAACGCGACACGATATTTTTCAGATGTTCTGTAGCTCTTTGAAAATTTCATCACGCATTTTCCTTCAACGACTGTACGGTTCAAAAAACATGTATTTTTTGTTGGATTAAACTACGAATCTGTAGAATTGAGTATGGATTTGCCGAGCAAACAAAATTTTCCTAAACATGTGTTTAGAAATTGATACACAAAATGTTTTACTCGTTTATTTTTTTACCCCCACTTCAATGAATATCGCAGAATTTTGAGGGAAATTCAAAAAAGGGCTTATTTAATTCAACTTTTTTTTGTCCCACATTTGCTGACAAATTAATTGAACTTGCTAATACTGGAATAGTATTTTTTGCTTTGGGACATTTTTTTTTCTTGTTGGACATAATGAAAGTTACACAATGTTACGAATGGTAAAGTGCTTTGATCGTGAAAGCAACAAGTCTTCAATACAAAATAGTCCAGGAGAATAAGGAAAAAATGAGCGAACTTTTTTCGCGTTTTTTGGACAAAGAACATTCAATGGAGATATATTCATTCGAAAAAATTTTGAAGAAAATGAATTTTCTGGAGCTGCAAATGTATAATGAAAGAAATTATATCAATATCATTTCTTTTATTTATTTATAATTAAAAAATAACCTTTTTTAGTTATTATTTTTAACAATATTTTATGCAAAAATTGCAATGAAAACAGATTTTTCTGGAAAATATTAAAAAGCGCATAATTAATTCGTTTGATGCTCATAAATTTTCAAATCTCGAGAAACTATACACGATTTTCCAAAAATGTTCCCCAATTTTCTTTTCTCTAATTCACTTCTGTTATTTAAGAAATAAATTGACCATTATTTGGCTCCAAAACATTCATTTTCTCATAATCTTCATTTAAAAAATAAACGGGAAAACTATTGGGAAAATCGAAATTTTTCATAGTACTTTTGTAGAAAATTTTATTTTGAACAACTTTTATTTGAAACTTTTTTCGAAAAAATGCATCTTCATTGAGATATTAGCAGTTTTTGGTCAAAAAACACGAAAAATCATATACATATATAGGGTGTCTCATAATTAGTGTCCAATATTTTATCACTTGATTCTATTGTCAAAAATAGGAATAATAGGGATATTTCTTCATACAAAAATAGGTCGAGAAATGCTGCCTAAGGAAGTTAGGCACCCCAAATGGGGTCGCAAAAAAATTATTTTTTTGTAATATTTCTAAAAAAGATTAAATGAAAAATATGAATTTTGACACGATGAACGCTCATTAAAAGTCGAAATAGATCATAAAATTTTTCAAAAATACTGGGTAAAACAACATCACCATTTTTTCATAGAAAACTCAGATCAATCAAATTTTACTGTTTAAATTTGAATACAGCAACATGTAAAAAATTTGGGGCAAATTAATTTTTTTTCGAAAACCTCTAAGTTTCAAGATGACATAACGTTTAAAAACATACATTTTTTATTAGTTTTTTTATTAGTTACCCTATTTTATCAAACAAATTCGACATTTTTTTTTTAATCTTATCAAATGGAGTCAAATAATTTTCCGGAACAGCAAGATATCTAAATTAATAGTGAGTTTTAGGTAAAGTTCAGATATATTTTTGATGTGTAAACAAATGTTTACATTTACCCCCTCCCCTCCCCCCATAAGGTTCACCCTATTTTATTTCATTGCACAATATGGCAGTGATACGTCATTTGAAAGATAATTTCACTCTCTTTACAGCAGTGTAAAGTTTTCTGAAAAAAAGGAGGACTTTGAATAAAAAATCTATTTTAATAAATGTTCAAACTGCTTCCCACCCCAATTTGGCAATGTCCCAACCTGTAATAGAACGACGTCACAACGTTTATTAAAGTTTCTCTATGATTTGTTGCGGTTCCTCAAATATTCTGTTCCTCAAGTTGTCTATATTTAATGGCATGTTTTATAAACATTATTTTTTAAATGTCCCCAAAAGAAGTAATCTAGGGGTGTTTTATCAGGAGAGCGTGCTGGCCATTCAATAGCACCCCTTCTCCCAATCCATCTATTCGGAAACATTTGATACAGGAATTATCGAACTCCAATAGCAAAATGAGATGTTGTACCGTCCTGCTGGAACCAGATGCTAATGCGTAAGTTTTGTAAAGCAGGTAAAGTTTGATTACGTAACATTTGTTCGTACTTTTGGCCACTTAAGTTACCATCAGTTACAAACGGACTAATAATGGTAGTACCAATTGATGTATTTATTTTTCGAGGTCTCTGGGTGGATTCTTCTCCCATCCAGTGAGGCTTTTGATCACTCCAGTACCTCAAATTGTAACGATTGACTAGACTAAACTATTAACAATACAAATATATTCGTCGGAAAAACAAACATTAGATATAAAGTTAGGGTCTTGGTCAGCTTTTACCGTTATTGTTTCACAGAAATCAAGCCTTCGATCATAATCATCATCACTTAACTCTTTAGTAAATGTGTTTTGTAAGGTTTATAAGGATTTGTTTTTAAAATTCGGCAAATACACCTACTACTTGTATAATGTTCTCTAGCGGCCTTACGCACAGAAGTAACAGGATCTTCCACAAAACTCTGCAATACTTCAACAGCGTTATTGTCATTAGTTGCAGTTCTTGGACGTCCTGATCGGGGTTTGTCTTTCACGGTTCCAGTTTCTTCCTTTGTATTGTTCTGCACATGGTTGATTTTGTTAGTAGCGTACTGTTTGGAAAGGTATCATTAAATAAATGAACCACTTGATCGAATGATCTTTTGAGATCACTCTATCATCAAAATCGTTATTCTTTCTCTTCCATTTAGAGCCATATTTGAGTATTTTAAATATTTAATGAACAATTTTGACAAATCGAATATTTTTTTGACAAAGTTACTTTATTATAAAATGATTACATTACAAATCTGTGAAAAATACCTTATCCTTTCAACTAATCTGACCATAATTTTGCCGGGAAGCACGCTACAGCCTCAACTCTTTTTCGTTATAAAGAACATTCGAATTGTACACTTACGCGAATTTGCGAGTATGTAAAGTAGCTGTATGCAAATTCGGTTGTTCGTCTAGAAACCCTTCGTCACCCCTCTGATATAGGAATCGGTCGGAGTATTATCTTTCGTTCTGTTTTCTAACAAAACAGGACTCTAGAGACAACAACGGATGTGGCGAACCAAAGTAAATGTAACGTGAGCCGAGAGAAAAGGCGAAAGAAGGATTTGTCAGCTTCCGGGTCCTTTTAAAGTCCTGTTTGACAAATGGGTTTCTTAAAACTGTTTAGTTTCACTTTATTTCTTGAGAATGCTCCAGCTTCGGGTTGTTTTTGTGTATTTAATAAATACGGAAAAGTACTTCTTGCGTATAGAAACACTGAATTCGGGAGTACAACTATACAGGGTGCATCAAAATATTCATATAATATTTTCAGTACATAAGAAAAGAAGGGTGTCTTTTTATGTAATCATCTTTCCAATAAAGGAGTTATATTCTTTAAAGAAGTTAGATAGCTTTTAGGCTATTGATTATATATATATAAAAAAAGGGTTAAAAGGAACTACGACGTTCAAGCAATTTTATTGCATGAATCGTTCAAAGGGTCATTTTAGATGAAAAAACCGCGCAGTGCTATTAAATTAGAGAATGGAAATTGGAGATAGGGGTGAAAATGCCCCCTTTCAGTTTTTTCATTTTAGCTCGAAAACGAAGCAAAATTTCGCATAGTTCATAGGAAAAATTATTTAGAGAATTGCATTTCCCATCGAAATGGCTTATTTAAAAAATTTAAAAGGGAAATTTTATGCAAAAAATCGTTAATAAACAATTT